TCTTTAAGATCATAGCACAAAGTGAAATTAAGCCCTCTTTTCCATGTCCATTCCCATAAATCTAGATCTATTTTCTGTCCATTGTCTTGAGCCCATTTGATCATACAGTGTCTAATGTGTTCATCTTCATCTTCTAATTCATATTTTAGCAGTAATTTGTAAAAATTCTCTATATGGTGGTTTTTATCCAATGGTATTATACTTATAAAATCTTTGTTCCATTCTCCAAAGCCATGAAACTTAAGGTCTGTTTTAAACCTTTCTTTCTTTAATTTGCTTATACAAAAACCAACTACATTTATATCATCCTTTGCTTCATCCTTTAGATCCATTGCTATATGCTCCTAAATTTTACCCTCAACTTATCCACAGGTCATATAAAAATCCATAATTTTGGCCCCAAAACTTCCCTTTTCAGAATCTCCCATCCGTCCTGAACTCCCTTCTCTTTTATTATTCCTGACCACCACAAGATCACACTCAGTATTTTCCTGAGTCCAAGAGATCAACCAGGACAAGCCCCGCAAAAATTAAACACCTACTTTTGCCGCTTTTATACTTTTTACATAGAAGGCCTTGCATGGATGAATATTCCAAAATATTGCAACATAATTAGATTTTTAATAGGAATTCTAATCTCTTTCTAATCTATTTTGAACAAATGCAAAGGGATCCTTGAAGAGCACACACACAAAAAGACTTTAACTCCTTGCAGTGAAGGGTAATTCCATCTGAGGAGTTACCTCAGTACACAAAGGAATCTTGTATCACGTTGGAGACTGCTGAGCAAAATACGGTTGTATAGTCTTTCTAAGACTAAGGGTATATCTAAATTGTAGAAACAATGCACTTTGGCACCCCTTTAACTGCCATGGCTCCATCCTAAAGAATCCTGGGATTTGTAGTTTTGTGAGGCACATGCACTTCTTGGCAGATCCCAGGATTCAGTAGACCTCAACAATGCATTATTTTTACAATGTAGATGCAACCTTAATCTTGGAAACATGTGACAATGTATAATCAACCCTGGAACCCACCCCTTAAAATAATATTAAATTATTTGTTGTTGTTGTTAATATTTATTTATAGAGCGCTGTAGAAACTGGATTATTTCTGCAGTGTATT